CAATTGTGTGGATCAAGACAAGCTATGGACATTACAAAGAATGAATATTCCACAACACTTAATTGTATTCATGAGGAACCTGTACGTAGACCAAGAAGCAGTTGTGCAAGCAGAACAAGGGGACACTGAGTAATTTAAAATCATGAAAGGTTTGTGCTATGGTTGTATTCTTTCACCATACTTATTCAATCTGTATGCTGAGCAAATAATCCAAGAAGCTGGAATACATGACAAAGAATGTAGCATCAGGATTGGAGGAAGGCTCATTAACAACTTCTGATATGCAGACAATACAACCTTGCTTGCTGAAAGCAAAGAGGACTTAAAATGTTTGCTGATGAGAGTCAAAGACCACAGCCTTCTGTATGGGTTGCGCCTCAAAGTAAAGAGAGAAAAAAAAAAAAAAAAAAAAAAAAACGGACCAATAAACGACTTCCTGATAAATGGAGAAAAGATTGAAGTTGTCAAAGACCTCATTTTGCTCAGCTCCACCATCAACATGCATGGAAAAAGTCAAGAAATCAAATGACATATTGCGTTAGGCAAATGTGCTGCACATGACCTCTTTAAAGTGTTCAAGAGCAAAGATGTCAGTTTGAGAACTAAGTTGTGCCTGACCCAAGCCATGGTATTTTCAGTAACCTCATAAGCATGTGAAAGTTGGACAGTGAAAAAAGAAGATCTGTCCTTTGGACATATTATCAGGAGGGTTCAGTCTCCAGAGAAGGACATCATTCTTGGTAAAGTGGAGATTCCACAAAAAAGAGGAAGACTCACAATGAGACAGATTGGCGCAGTGGCAGCAACAATGGGTTCAAGTGTACCAAAGATTGTGAGGTTGGCACAGGACCAGGCAGTGTTTTGTTATGTTGTACACAGTGTCACCATGAATTGGTACCAACTCAATGGTACCTAACAACAACAACAGCAGCAATCTAGATACATTTTCTCGAAGCACAAAGGATGATCATAGGAGATAATATTAAAGAAGTTTTAAGAAAATAAAAAGTACATTGGCGAAAAAAAGGCCATGAAAGTTGAGTTGTGGACCTTTTTCCATCATGGCTTTGTACCTGCTCATTCTTTGAGGGTAGTAGCCAAAGATGTCCCAGGAGAATTCCATAGGACGCCTAACCTCATTCACCCTATATGCCTGATTTATAAGTCTAAAGATGTTACTTTAGGCAGAAGCATTGATGGCAGGGAAAGCTGTATCCAGAGTAAGTATCCATCCCAGTAAGAATAAAATCCTGCCTTTTCCATGATGGCAGAGCCCAATGTAATCAACCTGCCACCAGGTTGCTAGATGATCACCCTGAAGAATGGTGCCATTTTAAGGATTTAGTTTTGTATAATCTCCATCCCTACCAATGTGGCCACTTTGTTTATGAGCCCATTGAACACAGGAGTGGCTGGGAAAAGAGGAAGACTTGTTTGTTTTCACAGAGCATGTCATCCTATCCACTTGATTATTAACATTCTCTTCTGCTGAGGCCACACTGGTGAGCATTCACATGAAACACAAATATCTTTACTTCTCTGATCCATTCAGAGATGTCTATCTCCACATACCACTCTTCCATATCAATTTGACATCAATTTTCCAATCACGTTCCTCCCATGACATCAATTTTCCAATCATGTTCCTTCCAAGTTCCTGAATATCCAGACAAACCATTGAATATGACCCATGAATCAACATATGAGGGTGAATCAAAAATTATCCACAATCTAGCTTCAGAATTTATTCTAATCAACTTTTACAGAAGAGAAATACATCACTTTTAGCTAAACAGGAGTCATACATCAATGTTGTTGTTGTTGTTGTTAGGTGCCATCAAATTGGTATCAACTCACAGCGACCCTATGCACAACAGAATGAAACACTGCCTGGTCCTGGGCCAACCTCACAATTGTTGTCATGCTTGAGCCCAAGCATACATCAATAGGGAGAAATTAAAGTTTGAGGACAAAAAGAGTTATTTTGTGGAGGAATATGGAAATTAGAGGTAAAGATGTTGTCTGTGGATACCATTGAGAACACTTTCCTCCAAGATGAGAAGGAAAAAAGAGGGTGAAGATAGAGATTGGGAAATGGGGAAATGACACTTTAGAAACATAGGCAGTGAAATAGATGACTTGGGTAGACCTGCAAGGATTTTGAAATAAATTGAGAAGAAACTGACTACAGTTAAGGAAACTTAAAGTCCATTGATACTACTGTGGGTCAAGAATGATTATTTTAGGGTTTAAATATTTATTATTTTAATTCTTACTCAAGAATAGAGGTTGGGTAAGGACAATTCTGGGAATTGATTTGGCCTCTTCTAGGTTTAAGGAAAGTGGTCAAAATTAATAGAACCTATTTTGTACCAGAAGCTCAGTCAAGGTCATCATCTACTGAGCTCTGATCATGTGGCAGGAACTAGGCTAGATGTGAGGAATATGAGTTCTTTCACAAGAAGTTCACAGTCAAGTTACAAAGCCTCTCAAAACCTCCCCTTCCCATTCCTTTGGTTTATCCATACTATGTTTATGTCTTACCTCCCTGCAGATCCAAATACAAGATTCTCAGGACCCAGTGCAAAAAGCAGGGCAGGGTAGAGGGAAGCTGTTTTCTTTCTTTTATGGTTTATCTCTCTCTCTTTCAACTCTAAGTCTTACTTAGTGTCACTTTGGAGATTAGCATTGGGCAAATCTGCTGCAAAAGACCTCTTTAAAGTGCTAATGAGTAAAGATATCACTATGAAAACTAAGGTTCTCCTCATGAAAGACATGGTATTTTCAATTATCTCGAGTGAATGTGGAGTCCCGGTGTGGCACTGTGGGCTAATGCGCTGAACTGCAAAGTTGGTTTAAACCACAGGTTGGCTGTTCAAGCCACTCTTCAGAAGCCCTGTATAGGGATGGAAGCAACTCAGACACTTAACAACAACATGTAAATGTGAAAGCTGGACAGTGAATAAGAAAGACCAGAGAAGAATCAATACATTTGAATTATGGTGTGGCAAAGAATATCAAATTACCATGATTGCCAGAAGAACAAACAAATCTATCCTGAAAGAAGTACAGCAAAAATACTCCTTGGAAGTAAGGATAACAAGACTTTGTCCCATCTCTTTTAGACGTGTTATAAAGAGTCCCTGGAAAAGGACATCATGCTTGGTATGATAGTTAAGGTTTTGTGTGAACTTGGGCTATGCCGGGGCTCTCGGTGGTTTGACAAGATAAAGCCATCCCCCCTGAAAAGATCTAATAGAATGTAATCATTTATATGGTGAGATCTGCTATGAATGCTCAGTCAACTGAAAGGACGTTTCGTCTGGATGTGGCCTGCTTCCAATGTATTGGGCACTCGGGTAGAGCTTTTTGCTTTCTTCTGGGTCTGGATCCTACATCTGGTCAGCAGTTCAAATCTACCAGTCACTCCACAGGAAAAAGATAAGCCTCTCTGTTCCTGTAAAGATTTACAACCTCAGAAGCCCTATACATGGTCGCTATGAGTCGGAACCAACTAGGCAACATACAAGCACCACCACCAGTACACATATATAAGCTTCACTGAAGTTGCTTCTCTAGAGAATCCTGCCTAAGACACTTGGTAAAGCAGAAGGTCAATAAAACAGAGGAAGACCCCTAAGAGATGGATTCACACAGTGACCACAACCATAGACTCAAACATAGCAACACTTATGACAATAGCACAGTGTTTCGTTCTGTTTGTGTACGGGGTTACTATGAGTCAGAGCCGAGTCCGCAGCACCTAACGACTACTGGAATCCTTGGTTGATGAAAATGGTTAATGTGTTCAACTGCCAACTAAAAGGTTGGGAATTCAAGTCCATCCAGAGTCACCTTGAGAGAAAAACCTGGCAATTTACCTCTAAAAAATCAGTCCCTGAAAACCCTATGGAGTACTTGTACTCTGACACACATGGGGTCATCAGGAGTCAGAATGGATTTGACAAAAACTAGTACCAATGCCACTGTCTCTTGGGCACAAGGATACTTTGAGGCAAATGCGGATCTTCTAGACACCCAGGACGCCATCCCGTGGCTTAGCCTGCAGTTTGCCTGTGTCCCACCTTGGCCCTCTCTGCACCCACACCCAAACCCTGCCAGTGGAGGGCAGCAACAGTTGCTAGGATGAGGTAAGGGAGTGAGCAGCTGAGAACCCATGCCAGGGAAGGAGGGCCACATGTAAAACTCATCCCAAACCCTCATGTAGGTTCCCTTGTTCCACTAAATTCCACAAATTCAAAAATAAAATTAATAAGAACTTCACAGTGGCAACCACAGCACACTAAACTTACTTTGCAAGACTTTCTTCTGAGAGTGTGTCAGTGTGTGATTGCACTGGTCACAGAGTCTTCATGCTGGTCCTGCCTCCCGTACAGATTTCAGGACACTGGGGTGTGGCCAGTAGTTATTTTGTACAACTTGAGCCTCACTAGGACATTTCAGTGGGTAGAGCATGAATTACTGTTAATTGCTTGGTTTTCAATATGAGAAAATGAGTAAAGGGTTGTAGGTCTAGAGGAATAGCTTTCCTGGCCTGGATGAGAAAAGCTAGTTCTTTATGCAAATCCAGCAGGGGCTCTGAAGGAGAAGAATATTCCAGAATCTGTCCCAATTGATAGACTACATTAGGATTTCTGAGAATCCGAATTAGGGGTATGGATGGTGAGAAACAGTAATTGAACAAACATGGAGGCTCGGAATTCCCTGAGCACCTCTGAGAATCTAATATCTTGCTTCATCTGAGGGTGTTTTCTTCCCATGGTGAAAATATTACATATGCGAGTGTATTTTCTATCTCAGATGTAGAAAAGGATACCAGTTCGGAGCAGTTATCCAGAAGCAGAGGCAAAGAATCAGAGCCGCAGGTCATTGTCCAGTGACCTTAGGGCAAGTCCTGTACTTTGGCCTCTTCTTCCTGGGAAGACATAGAAGACAGTGGTGTGGGGGCCACAGTTCCTCACCAGACCTGGGCTCCAGATATGCTTCTGCAGTCGACCGTTGGTCCCAGCAATTTGGGATTTACTTTTCATCTTTCGGTAAGCAGCCCAGTCTTTTCCAGACCTGATTGCAGGGGTAGAATGACATGACGTCACCTTGAATATGAATGCTTTGACACCATTCTCATTCAACTGCCTGAATCAGATCTCTGCAGGAGGTACACGTGTTATTAGTCCTGAATTAGGCAGGGAGCCATTAGACAGCAACATTTTGCCATCATTTGAGGATTTCTGTTCCTCAAATGGGCGTATCTTCTCAAAATGCTTCTCAAAATGCAAGTACTTAACCAGGTTTGATTGTCCTTCAGTATGATAAAAATGAAGTTATTACCAACACCCATTTTAGCTCTAATTTTATATATCTTATATAGATGATGTCATTACTCAGGAGATTATCTTTGAGCAAATTCTTTCCAAATCGTGCTTATAACATTCTAATACTCGAGGTAATAGCTGGTCTGAGGCATAATATATCATTACTGGGCTCTGAGGGGATCCAGAAAGTTTGGCAAAAACAGTTGGACAGACATATATAAGCAGCAACAGAAAGGCAGAGTTATATTTTGGGTGGCAATAGTTCCAGATGAAACCATAAAATGAAAATGTTCTGTGATGCTGTGAGAAAGAGCTTCCTCTACTTTGTTGTAATTTGAAAAGAATTTCCCTTCTATATAAAAACCACTGATTTAGTTGTTGCTGTTGGTAAGTGCCATCGAGTCAGTTCAGACCCATAGCAACACTGTATAAGATTTCCTAGAAGTGGTTGGTGAGCTTGAACAGCCAACCTTGCAATTCAAACCAACTTTGCAGTCCAGTGCATTAACCCACAGTGCCACACCAGGACTCCTGATTTAATACGCATGAATTTGCTAAATTTAGAAGAAGCTTTGTAACAATAACTGCAATTTTTTTTTATTTTATACTTTCCTAATGCCATTTATTTAAGGAGCTCTGGTAGCTAGTGGTTAAGAATCGGGCTGCTAATCTCACAGTCAGCAGTTCAAAACTACCAGCTGTTCTGCAGGAGAAAGATGAGGGTTTCTGCTCCCGCAAAGATTTACAGCCTCGGAAACTCTATGCAGAGTCGCTGTGAGTCGGAACCGACTCCACGGCACATAAAACAACAACAAATGCCACTTGTTTAGATGTGTCATTTCTGGCCACAAGTACTAGAGCAGAGTACACCTCTCTGCCCCAGGAGCTGGGGGCTGTAGCTGTGAGAACTGTAACTAGTCTTAACTATAGGCTGGTAAACAAAGACCATGAAGTTAGGGAGGACAGGGGGAGGCATAAAGTTTCCCATTTCCCAGATGAAGACCTCCCAATGAATCACCTCACTTAGGGTCATCACAAAGATCATCAAACAGGTTAGAAAAACAATAAAAAGGCAAGGAGACTGAGACAGAATCTCTTCAGGAAGGGGCATCCAAATTCAAGCATATAAATTATACTATGAGATGATATTTGGAAAAGCAGAGAGTCAATAAAAATGAGGGCCACTCTCAAGGAGATGGACTGACACAATTGTCAACAACAGGCTCAATCACAGCAAGCATCATGAAGATGGTGGCACAGGGCCAGGGGACATGTCTTCTGTGACATGTAAGTTACCATGAGCCAGAGGTGACTTGATGGCATCTAGCAACAACTAGAGGATTATCCGAGTCCAAAAATATGAAAATGAGGTAAGAATTCAAAGGAAGATAGGATTACTGAGGACTTTGTTGGGGTTGATGATAGCGCTAGGTCAGTCATCAATACATCTAAAGAGAAGAGGGAATCTCGAATAAGAATGTCTGATGAGAACTTTGTCTTTGACTCAGAGAAAATGAGGGAGAATAAAAAGTCTGATTTCTGAGGGAAATCTCTAAAAGTCCCTCCAGCAAAAGGGTATTTAAATATCAAACACAGACTATATGCCCAGTTTGCTGCACATAAAGGGAGTTCCCAAAGACCTCGGCATGACAGGGTGTGGAACGAAGTGAAGCCTTGGGTGTGTGTGGATTGTGAGATAAAATCGTGATAGAGGCTAGTTCTTGGCATGACCTAGCATCAATCTCTGTGGACAGGGCAGGCCCTATTTACTCATGGGTCATTCTTTCTCACACAAACCCTAGGCCACTGGCACCACACCATCACCAGGGACTCCCTTGATGTGTCATCACAGCCAGCTGGCCCACAGGGTGGAGTGGAGTAAGGGAGTCTCCCTGCAGATAAGGGTGTTCAGGTGGAAGAAACTCGTCTCTCTGTGGGGGGACACAGGGAGTAATCCCCACCTCAGTCCAGCTCACAACCAAGGCCAAAAGCCCTAAGGAAGCATGAACAAGTCTCTTGTTCCCTCTTGCCCTGAGAGTTTTGTTTTGTATGTCTCATGCCCTCCAATGGAAGGAAGACAGAATATGTCAACATTTTGTCACCTCCATAAAACCTAAGGAGTCCTGGTGTGGTGCTGGACACATATATGATGCTGGACACATATATGATGCTCAGTAGGCTCCTTTGTAAAATCTGAATTGCAAAGAGAAAATGTTCAAGCTAGAGGATAAAAACTGACTTGATTTTGTATTGATTTATGAATTCAAACTTCAGAAATAATGATCTTATATGAAGGGGGATTCTCTTCTCCTTTTAAAAAGGGGGAATGACTTGTTGACATCAGGAAGAATAGAATCTAGGTCTCTTGAATGGTTCCAACCAGTTGCTCCTCAAATCAATTTTTCAGTCAAAATATCTACTCAGAGACAGCATAATAATTGTTCCCTTAATGAAAATGTCCACAAGGGATGTTAGTAGATGTTTGAAGAAATAAATAAAAGAAAAAAGAAAGCAACTGAGTTATGTGATCAAATAAGTTTAGGAAAACCTGGATGGAACCATGTGAGATAGATTTCTCCCCTACAGATTTCTTAGCACATTTGATATGCAAATGTAATCACAAACCCTCAAGAGTTAGATTATTAGATGCAGAACTATTATCTAAATTTTTTTTTGTCAAGAAGCACCGTCCAGGCCAACATTTCCTAGCTCTTTGTAGAACACAGCAACCTCGAGTCCTTGATAAGGTATGACATATATAATTGCTAATTGCCACGCCATTGTGCCAAGGCTGATTTTAAAGGTCAAGACTATGCTTTCCTGTCTTTGATTTTGCCATGCTATGACGGTCCTAATACTGATGAAGCCCTCTTCACAGTTGTCTGTCTCCCACCTGATTTATTGTTCTTTTGCTACTAAAGATGCCTTAGAAATAAATCAGTGGACATATTAAAAACATGAACAAAACCTTACCCCAGCTACACTAAGGCACTTATACCAACATTGTGAGAAAGATGTTGATAATGAACATCATCATGATGCAATCATCCAACCCAGTCACAGGAGGATAACCAAGGGCTCAGGAAAGTCTCCAAAGGGGATAATGATAGATTAGAGTTTGATGAGATTCAGCACCTATGATGACAACAGCTTCAGTTTCTACGAAAGTGCAGGAAAGCAAAATAAATTGTGATAGTAAGGTTTTGTGTCTATTTGACTGGGCCTGAATTCTCAGTGGTTAGGTAGGTTGTTGTTGTTTTGTGCCATGGAGTCAGTTCCGACTCATAGTGACCCTGTACAGAGTTTCTGAGGCTGTAAATCTTTACGGGAGCAGAACGCCTCATCTTTCTCCTGCGGAACAGCTGGTAGTTTCAAACTGCTGACCTTGAGGATCACAGCCCGATTTGTAACCACTATGCTACCGGAGCTCCTTGGTTAGGTAGGTAAGATGTAGTAAAAACCCCATGATGAGATCTAATATAATATCATCACTTCCCATGATGTGATCAGTGCTCATCTGATGTAATTAATCTATGTGTTGTAAACCTTCACTTCTATGCTGTTAATGAGGCTGGGGGCAACCTACTACAGAATTAGGTTGTACTTGATTCAATCTCTTTTGAGATACAAAAGAATTAAACAGAGACAGCATGACTATTGTTCATCAATTTAATTCATAACATTCCAAGCTCTGGCTTCCAAAAAAATTCATGTTGTTTCCACATGTAAACACATTCACCCACCCTAGCATATCATTCCCAAAGTCTTAAAACAACTCCAAATCCAAATTCCTCTGAGGCAAAATTCCTTTTCATCTGTGAATCTGGAATACAAGTTACATGTTTCCAAAGAACAATGGTGGAACAGACACAGGTAGACATTTCCATTACAAATGGGAAAAAATTATATATGGCAACTCTGTTACCAGGGCATTGGATGGTGCCAGTCCTCTGGTCCTTCTGAGTGATAAACCCACCTCCTCAGCCCCAGCTGACCCCATCTCAGTAAGCATTGACCTGAAGGCACTACGTTCTTACTTCATGAATTGGCTCCTTTGCTGTCTTCTGGTTCTGTTGCTGCTATTTCTGTACCATTGCTTCTCACTGTCTGCATCATCTTCGGTGGTGTGTCTCTTCTCACTTCCAACTGAGCTTTCACTGCAATTGTCTCTAACATCCATAATTTCACCAACAGACTCTTCAAGGTAATATAAACTTTTATTGTTATTGTAGTTACTGTTGCTAAGTGCCATTGGGTAGGTTCCAATTCATAGCAACCTTGTGCACAGCAGAACAAACCATTGCCCAGGCCTGCTCCGTCCTTACAATTGTTATGTTTGAGGTCATTATTGCTGCCACTATGTCAATCCATCTTGTTGAGGGCCTTCCTCTTTTTAACTGACGCTTCACTTTTCTAAGCTTGGTATCTTTCTCAGGGGTTAGTCCCTCCTAACAGTATGTCAAAAGCATAAAAGATAAAATCTTCCATCCCCAACTTCCAAGGAGCATTCTGGCTGCACTTATTTCAACACAGATGTGTTTTTTGGGGTTTTTTCTTCTGGCAGTTCATGGTACTTTCAATATTCTTTCCTAGCATGATAATTCAAATGTATCGATTTGTCCATGGTCTCCCTAATTCATTGTCTAACTTTCACATTCATATGAGGCGATGGAAAATATGACTTTGGTCAGCGCACCTTAGTCTTCAAACTAATGACTTTGCTC